GTGATTTTGCGTCAATTTGAATGTTTTAAAAGCCAACTTGATCAAGTATGCAACCGTACTAGTTACAGGACTTGGGGAGTGCCTAACACCTTCTCCCCGAGTCAAATGAACCCCCTTACCCGAATCTCTGGTGCAGACTTAGTTTTGGAGTCCAAAGTGTTTTAAAAGGAAAAATCATTTTTAAAACGGTGACCTGGCACACCGAAATCAATGTCAGGTGGCTACTCTGAGTTATTTCCTTTTGAACACAATTTTGTCACTTTTTAATTAAAAACCCTTTTGAGCTCTACAAATCCTTTTATTTTTTTAAGGGGGTTAGTGAGGCTTGTAAAAAAAGGCTGTGACAGCTCTGGCGACTCTGCTGTGGACTAGCAGGTTCGAGCTAATACTTGATCTTGTTGGCTTTTAGGATATTCGGTTGAGGTGTTTGTTTTCTTTATTTGCTTGGTTTATTTGCTTTGTTTGTCTTATTTCCTTGTTTGTTGGTTATTTGTTTGTCGTTTTTCTTTATGTGTTACTGCTTTATAAACTGTCATCATTTGCATAACCATGGGTCTTCTTTCTGCAACAAGTCTTCCGGAGTACGTTTGAGCATACACGGCCTTTTTGTGAGTCACCAGTGTCTTTAGGGGGGTGGCGTGGGAGCAGGGAGTGGGCGGACAGCTAGAGCAGCCGCCATCGACCACGTGCTGCCCCGAATTGCCTTGTTAGTGAACCACAAATTTAGGTCAGCCTTTAGGTCATTCTTATTTGCATCATGTCATTTGGACCTAGTAGGGCTCGGTCCCAGGCACTGTGTCCCTTTGTAGGAAGCCTATCCAAATTTTGTCAAAAATGGACCCGTGGCCTATAAAGGCATTCAATCATCCCTATGCATGTTGCATCTTTGAGGGTAAAAATATTATTTGGCGGACCGATGTTTGGGAAAGAAGGGTGAAAAATAAAGCAAGTAGGGCCCAAATATATTTTTCTTTTACAACTTTTTACAAAAAAAAAAAAAAAAAAAAAAAAAAAAAATACAAAAAATGAAAAATCCAAGAAGATTTTATACTTTCCCATCATTTTCCAAAAATCAAAATAAAAGGAAAAAAAAGAAAATCCAAAAAGATTTTGTACTTTCCCATCATTTTTCAAAAATCAAAAAAAAAAAAAAATCAAAAAAACAAAACCAAAAAGATTTTACATTTTCGATCAATTTTTCAAAAAGACATAAGATATAGTTTTTTCAAATTGGATGCATTTTTATAAAATTCTATCCCATATCTAATCTTCCCGAAATATGCATACCTGATTCTCGTCTCTTGGGGCGGGATACGTAGGCAGCTCACATAGGGTTCGGTCTTCCTAGTAAGTCTTAGGTTCTTGGCTTTGCGGGGTCTTAGCAGACATTTGTATGTAGTATTCGTAGACGGTCCGTGATATTGTGACACTGGATTCCAGGTAGGGATGTATGTTGGTATTGTCGTACTGGTTTTTGATTACGTTGTTAGATTTCGTCTTCTGCATGTGTTGTACTATCGTTAATATTTCACTGTTGATCGCATGTCAATTTAAATTGTTAAAAAGGACTAAGTAAATGAGTTAGTGAATCTATAATACGCGGCTTGCCTAGCTTTCTCGAGTAGGCGCCATCACGACTCTCGAGGGTGGAAAATCCGGGTTGTGACATTCCGAGTTGCTATGAAGACTTCAAGGTATACATGTCATTCCGCTTGCAGGTCTTGGAGTCACCTTCTATTGTTTCCTTATTACTGTTTATTGTATCCCAAACAGTGTTGTATCTTGAGAATCATTATGTACCTCTCGTAGAGTTTATGAAGTATGGTGATATTACTTATGAGTAACTATTGATCCCCTGTTGTTATTAAGGTGTTTAAAGTTGCTAGTGTTTCATCTTAAGACAACTGGTGCAAAGTACTTATGCTCGAGAATCATTAATTGGTTTGATGTATAAATTATTTAAATACTTATGTACCTAAATGGGGGTATGTGTTTCTGAATAGATCTTCTTATACAAATTCATGAATATCTAGATACACTAGGGTATGTGTTGATTTACAATTTCGTGACGATAATCAACATTGGATCTATATCACATTGAACGTTTAGGTCAGGAGAAACCGTCTGAATGGAGCACCCTTCTAGGTCAATATACGAGATTTTTCTTGGGTTATTATAGTTATTAGTTGTTAGCGTTGGGTCTGTAAAAGGGCTATTAATGAACATATATTATATCCAATTGTTCATCGTCGATGTAGTATATGTTGCCTTGGTTACAGCACCAAGGATATCTTAACTCGAGTTGGACAATATAACTATTACAAAATCTCACGTGTTATCAGCGTTTTATATTTTCTATACCACTATATTTACCCATGTGATTTAAGATAGCTCATACGGCTGAAATATACTTATACCGTCTGAGATTCTTACGCCCTGACCATTTCTATTAAAGAGTCAAGACTACCACAAGATATCAATCTTTTGTGTACCTGCTCAGCTTCATCTCTTGAATCCCTTCAATTTGCTTAATAAGGTTTTGGATTCTTTTTGAACGAAACTGATTACTTTCATAACGGATAAATTCAAAAGGATTTGGGATTAAATGGGACTCTCGTATTAATCATGATCCAAATATAATCATTCCAAAATAATTTTACCCCATGCACAAGATTATTCATAAATCATTTAAAACTATATTTCAATTATTAATCAACGATACCGAACTCAAGTTTGATCACAGTATTTATATTTATAAATATATTTTTAAATATAAATACTTATAACAAAATATAAGTATATGTTTATTAAGTGACCCAAAACCTTTCGCACCTCTTGAGCTCTGAAATTGACTCAAAAGACATGATCGGACTCAAAATATCATGCATAATTGTAGATTATTGAAGAAAACATCTCCTGGCATCTTTTTTTTTTCCGAACAAAGCATTTAAATACAATCTGTTATACACACATGAAGGTCTAAATATATATTGTATAAAGGTCTCATAGACTCTCAATATATGTAAATACATCTAAATATATATGAAGACAACACTTAAAAAACATATGAATAAAACCTGTGGAAAATATGTGAATATAACCTGGTGAATACAGATAAATACAACCTAATGAATATAGATACATACAACCTGTTGAAATACAGATGAATACAACCTGTGAAATTAATATTAATGCAACCTGTTGAATCCATATGAATGCAAGATGTTGAATACAGATTAATACAATATGTTGAATACACATGAATACAACTTGGACTTCTTTCGATTTGTCATTGTGTAATTTAGTTCTTCTCTCTGAAGCTGTAGTTGCTGATACACCTGCAAATTCCGACCCCGCTTGAGTGATTTGCAAAAAGAAAGAGGCTTCATCGAAGTTGAGTAGTTTGGTGGGTATACCTCTGGTTACCATCTTGTGTGACATTGAATCCGACATTAGAGAGAAAAACGATAGATTTCTGTTGAGTAAACAATAACAATGGTTATTGTTTCAGAAGCAAACAAAGATCTGTATCAAAATCTAAGAAGCTAAATACTTACCACAAGAACTTGTATCAGAAAATAAAACCGAGATTTTAGAGAGAATAACATTTGGCAAGAGTAACCTCTTTGAAGCAACCAAGCATTTATGGAGCATTTTACCGATTCTTTATGCATTTTCTAAATTACGAACTATAATTTATGCATTATATTTTGTCATATAAATAAAAAAAGTACTCCTAGCTCCTTTTAAGTTTAAAACATTAGTAGATTACAAAGACACACAGCCATACACAAAACTGAAAGAGAAACAAGCTCTTCTCAACCAGAGCCTTCTCTGTGATATTTTAGTTTTGTGACTTGGAGTTTAATTCCGTTAACTTTCTTTTTTCCTTTCAAGTTACAAAGCATTTAAAGAATGAGATGACCATTAAGTCTGACTTATCCTTGAACGGAGATATTAAAGAAGAGAAAGTATTGTGTATGTCTTTTGATAGATCTTTTGAGTAGAAGTCATACAAGGAAAAGATGTTCGCTAGCAATCAACAACGGATAAGCAATGACTTCTGATAAAGAAATCCTTAAAGCCACTGGAAAGGGTTTATGATTATACAACCCATATTTGATTATAGTCACTTGTGGACATGGATTTATAATACTGCTTAATGTTTTTAAAGGTAGTAGCGAAAAACAATATAGATGAATCTATTAAGACAATAATTATTTACCCCACACCAGAATACAAGTACCCCATTAATTATCATTGTGGAGAGGTACTCAAATACAAAAAAGTTACTATTACTATTATTTATGTCAATTACGAATGTAACTTTATATGCCACATGCCACATATAGTGTACTCAAATACATTTGTAACACAGATATCATTTATGTGATACCATATGATGAAACGGTTCCAATCAGCTATAGAGTATTAGTTTAGTTATTTTTAAAATTCAATCATTAGGTACATAGGAGTGATTTCATTAGCTACTCCTTGATAGTTTAACTTTGAAATATAGATACATTCTATTGACGAAGTATGACACACAAAGATCCCTAAGTAACGCAATACTCATAGTTCACAGCTTTTCCCTAAATTGGCCATTAACTATAGAAATACAGCTGCGATATAGGAGCTTCACTCTTGAGATTAGTGGCAATGCCAGGAATTTTGCAAAGCATATTCAAAATTTAATATATATTAAAAAAAAATTATTTTCGACTTAACATTAATGGAAGATGGAAAGAAATGTGAATTAAATGAACAATTGAAAGTCATGCGTATAAATTTCATACTCATTTCAAATTCACGATAATATGTGTACTATATCTTAACCATAGTTTAAGGGATAAACTACACTTATAGTTTTCTAGTAACATATCATTTTCATACAACTGATCCGTGTTTATCTTTTCGCACCGTTATGAAGTAACAAGCATATGGATTTTATGTAAACCTAAATTTCTCTAGCTTCAGTTTGGCTATCTCCCCGGTGGCGTTTATGGATTTGCAATAGGGAATGTTTGGGTAGCTGCAGCAACTGAACGTGCATTGACCTTGCTCTTGCTCTTCTTCAATGGCTTAAAATAGCGCCATGGGGTTGGCATTGCTTGGAAATCATATCCCATTTTCTTATTGTCCAAACAGTCACGGACTTTCACGAGATAAGGGTTTTTCTTCTCGTCGTAGAAGAAGGACTCAGCGTTCAAATAATCTGGCTTGTTGATGTCCTTGCGTTTTCCTCCTAATGTTTTCCATATTGTCCACATGCGATCTACATTTGCATGGTGAGTATAGAAAGCAGGATCCTTACCAGCTGAATAGAAATTTCTCATATCTTCACAGTTTTTATAGTTTGGCCTCCCATATCACTAATGATATATACATCAGAGACCGTTCAATTCATGCAAACGGAACAACAAGGCTACCTTGATCAAATGAAACCAGATTCGAAAGAATTCCCATATAGTAAGAGACTTACTCAATGATAGGTATGAGTTAGTGATAACTCCCCCAAGTAATTGGACTAGCAGAATCCCGAGGCTCTCAGACGGAACAATATGATGAACAATTCTATAATAAGATAATAAGGTAGTGGGGCATTACAACTGAGTTAAAGTGAGTGACAGTGTAACATTACAACTAACACTGTTTTCACCACTTAAGTAGAAATCCCATCGCAAATATCTTGGGTATCAGTATACTTAAAATGGGGTGGACTCTGTAAAATTTAGCTTTGGTTACTTCAAGCTAAATATTGTAACTAATATCTTAGGTACCCCATCAGATACCCATGATAGATTATATTTGACCACTTCAGCCATATTGACGTGACCGTAAGGAATCACAGTGTGTACATTCCCACAATTGAGTTTGTGAGGATGGTGTACAAAATATACTATGTTATTTGCGTTTAAACTATAGCTGATCAATTATTTATAAATGTACCATGAATAATGTAACACCCTGTACATTTGGATTAGGTAAGAATGAGTTAAAGGAGTAGTTGGGCATATGAAGTCCTATCGGGATGATTATGGGTGAAAATAGTTGTTTCAAAATCAAGATGGAAAGTGAGGTGCATAAGATTTGACAAAATCGACTAAGTTTGCAGAAGGTCTGACTTCCAGCAAGATTTAGTGAAAATATGTAAGGAATTTAGGAAAACTCAAAGCACAAAAGTTTTAGGCCATTGAAATAGCTTTCCAACGATATATTGTGGAGCCCAAGGGGAGCTTTCTGCAAAATGTTATGCCCGTTTTATAGAATGGTGCGTAACCACCGCGTTCTACCGCGACCGCGGTCGTGAGGCAGTGTTCCAGCGATTTACCGCGGTCGGGACCGGAGTCAGGCCTATTGGGACGCGGTGGCCGACTTGGGAAGTCATTTTTTTAGCCCTATTCCGTCCCCCACAGCCCCAAAACATAAAAACTTGCTCTAGAAAGGAAAGCTCTCAAAAACCTAACTCTTTAAGGGTCCCTCCACCACCCTAGGTAGGTTCTAATGGTGATTCTAAGTTAATTTCAACTTTCCAACATCTTATTAACGTGGGTAAACCCTCCATATCATTAGATATTCGATTGGGGCATCATTGTTGAGAGAAGAAACCCTAGAACTCGAATTCAAGAGGATTGAACTTCAAAAAGGTAATGTCTTCATCCTCTAATTGAATATAGCGTTGGATTAATGATTTTAGACTACAAGTTCATGAGATATGATTTGATGTGTTTGATAGAAAAGCATGAACGGTTATATGTTTGGGGTGTTGATTGTTGATTATTGATTAAGGGTGTTGTTTACCTTATGGGTGATAAAGAATAATGTTGATTATAACCATTTGAGACTTTAGAATTTATCTAGGAGCAAGAGAATGAGTTATTGGGTGTACAGACACCATTAATAAGGACTATGAAGCTTTATGTCACCAAGTGTTTGAGAAAATGCTTAAGTGACTAAAACACGAGAATTATTGCTAATATGGAATCCCTTTGAATTGTAATGATATAGATTAAAGTTGAAAGGGGTGGCGAACGTTTTATTACGGTCAAGAGCAGGAAGTTAAAGTATGTGAGGCTAACTCTCTATGTTTGGGAATTTTAATGATTCTCCCTACACTGCGTTTCTTTTACGACGTTAGTAATTGCCTAAGGAATATAGTTAAGCCTAGTTCCTTGAATAGTTGTAGAACTTCTACTCTCTAGCTTCATAACTCGTTCACCACTTTCATTCTGAACGTTGTGAGCTCAGTGCGTATTCAATATAGACTTGGGTTTGATGCCCCCGAGTCATAGTATAGATTACTCAATATGCCATAAACAGTTGAAGTTTTAGTGTTCATAATCAGTTCAAGAATACATGTCTCAGTCTAGTCTTATTCAATATTCCAGTATTATGTAACTCAGTGTGATCCAGTATTCCAGTATCATGTAACTCAGTATGATTCAGTATTTCACTATCATGTATTGCAATTTGATTCTTAGTTCCTGAATGTTGAACACCTGTATTTGGGCCTGAGGCCGTAGTTTATATGCTTTATGCATACTTGGGCCTAGGGCCGTAGTTTATGCTTTATGCATGTTTGGGCCTGAGGTCGTAGCTTGTGCACATATATATATTGTGCCCGAGGGCGTAGCTTATTCAGATAAACAGGTTGTTCATCATTCAGAAGAGGGAGTATTCATATCCTCACTTCCTTTGTTCAGTTCAGTTATCAATTATCATTTCAATTATCAGTTATCAGTTCAGTTTATCAGTTATCAGTTATCATTTCAGTTATTAGTTATCAGTTATCATTTTAGTTATTAGTTATCAGCTATCAATTATCGTTTCAGTTTCTGTTTCAATAGTTATCATTTCAGTATCAATTATAAATTCTCAATTTTCAACTCAGTTTCAGTTTCAGCATTTACAATTCTTTCTTTCAGTTGCTTTACATACCAGTGCAATTCAAATGTACTAACGTCCCATTTGCCCGAGGCCTACATCTCACGATGCAGGTAATGATTTACAGGTTGGTGATTCAGAGCGCTAGGATTCTCGTACCAGCTATTTGGTGATCCCCAGTTCTTTCGAGGGATTATCATTACCTTACAGTCTTCAGTATTTGACACTCAGTGTTTTCAGTTTTTCATTAGAGGCTTCATAGACTAGAGTAACAGTTAGATAGAGTCGCAGGCTTTTCATATTAAGCTATGTTGGCTACAAATATGTTTTATAATTGTAGTAGTATTTCCGCACTTTGATTTATATCATCTAGACTTTCAGTATATCAGCATGTGTTAGTTTATCTTCCGCATTCAGTATGTTATAAACCACATGTTGATTCAACCAGCCAGTTGGTTTGCTCGGTTACATGTAGTCAGGCACCGAGTGCCGTGTTACGTCCAGGCCCAAGTTCGGGGCGTGACAAAACTTGGTATCAGAGCACTAGGTTCAAGAGTCTTAGGGAGTCTATGAAGCCGTGTCCAGTGGAGTTTCCTTTATATGTGTGTGTCGTCCACTCATATAAACGGTTAACTACCAAGACATCCAGGGTTGTCTCATTTCTTTCTACTCTAGATCGTGCCATGAAGCTTAGAGCAATAGTTAACCTTCTCTTCCTAATGAATTCCAAACATATTGGATGCCCAAGCGACGCACAGGAGAAACCTAAAGTCCTAGAGAGGATAACTGCCCATTGAGTTATAATTATGGAGTACAGGTTGGTAAATATGAGACTTGAGAGGATGTTAAAGTGGGATGCAATGGATAGTAGTACAGATTCGAGCATGACCTTAGCAGAAAGTACAAAAGCAGTTATCATGTTTTGTGGTTATCAGTTTACCTCAATTACCAGTTATACAGTCTTTCAGTTAGCAAGTTTGTGGTTATTCGGTACTCCAGTATTCGGTTATATGTTTACCAAATATCCAATTTTCAGTGTATCAAAATTTCTGGTGACTTGTGAGTATACAGTGATGCATATGGGTTTTCAAAGAAAATGTAAGTAACAGTGATTATAGCAAAATCTTCGAATATTTTAGGCCTGGATTAAGGCCAAGACTCACCGGATGGTGCATGAAGTGATTTATCAGATGATGGTATACTCTGAAGTATAAGTTTTTGTATGGTAATCGTATGTGTTTTACCTCAGAGAGCAATTTCTTTTAATTTTTGGAAATGGAGCCACAAGTTGGATGATGATAGTTCAGATGTCAGACCCTAACATTGGTCACTATAGTTTGGACAGAAAAGAGCCTAAGGGTAAAATACCTAGGAGTAAAAAACGTTTGTTATTACCAAAGATGTGATTTCGTACAACTCATGCAAATGACAAGAAGATATGATGTATGCAATGAGAACCAAGAGCAGCCAATAGTGAATTTCAGGGAATGATTTTAAGTTGCTTAGATTGTTCAAATCTGAACTAGAAGTACCACGTTAGTAAGTTACTATTGAAGTAGCTATTGATGTAAGATAAAAGATATGGCAGTTCCCCCTTAGGTTATGTGACTAAATGATTACCCGTGATGTTTATAGTATGATATGATTTAGTATTGTATAGAAGTTTGGGGTTAGATATTCCAATTTCATTTAAGGCAGATGAATTCCCTAAGTATGATCCATGCACATAGTTTAGAAGAAAGAAAAGGGATAATATGCGACCGTAGAGCAGGGCCGGATGGTGAGGGAAGTTAGAATAACCTTATGCTTCACTTTAGTTGTTCAAAGCAGATCAAGAAAACATGATGGTAGCAGGTGGTTAGTAAAAGAATAGTAAGTAAGTTTTGAGTTCATACAGTGAATTAGCACTTTCAGTAGAGCTGGTAGAGGTACAATTTGATCCACTTAGTTAGGTTAACTATAGTGAGTGAATGACAATTTAAAATATCGAATGTGTATTAGAACCCAAAGAGTTTAAGTTAAACTCGAAGAATAGTGGCAGTGGAAAAAAAAATCAGCTAGCAGTGAGAGCAGAAACTATAGAAGAATAGCCTTTAAGAATTATCGTAACGTGGTTTCTTCAGAATTGACAGTGTGAGCATAGTTAAATTATTAAGATTGTGTATGATAGTTGTGAATACATTAGCTTTCCATTTATGTAGGTAATATAGTTTTTCCTAGTAAGAAGGATTTCTCAGAAGTAAGTTGGAAGATGAGTCGTCATTGACATAGAGTGCAATAAATTATAGAAAATAAGGAAAGTTATTTGAATCCCAACAAAAAGAGAAGGATCCACAAGTATAAGACCTTTGGTCTAAGGGGTGATGTGAAAATTTTCAGTAAGTCCAGTTAGAGATTTGAAACTCGAATAGTTAGCATGGGATATGAAAAAGAAAATTAGTTCGGTAATGAG